TTAAGGGGTGAATGCAGGACTCGGAGCCGCCGGCGACCATGACATCAGCGTCGCCAAAGGCAATGAAGCGGGAGGCGTCACCGATGGAGTGAGCGCCGGTGGTACAAGCGGTGGTGGCAGAGTGGTTGGGCCCACGGAAACCGTAGCGCATGGCGATGTGGCCAGCCCCGAGGTTGATAAGAATCTTGGGGACGAAGAGAGGGGAGACCTTCTTGTAGCCCTACAAGAAGCATGTTAGACTCGTACATCAGGGAGGTACATCCGGTTCAAGGTCGAACCTGTGTGCGCTCTTACCTCTTTGTCATACGTGACGCTGGTGTTATAAAAGTCATCCAAGTTACCGATTCCGCTTCCCATGCAGACACCTGTGGCTTCAAGGTCTTCCTGCCTCGTGGGCTTCCACCCAGCATCTTGCAGGGCCATTTCGGTAGCAGCGACAGAATACTGGGCGAAGAGAGACATGCGTCTCTGGTCTGAAGGCTCCAACCAGTCCGCAGCCTTCCAAGTGTGCTGCTCGTCAACATTCTGCTTGTTCCTCGCAGGTGTAGGAACAAGGCCGGCCACGGTGCTGGTGAGCTCTTTCCATTTGTCCTGGGGCTCGAGGTCGGCGACGCTGACGATGCCCGAATGAGAGTCCAAGAGCCGGCGCCAGGTGGGACGGATGCCGACGGCCAAGGGCGTGATGGCACCGAGGCCTGTCACTACCACACGTCTCATTATCTTTCCATGTTATTCTTTGTCAGTCAAGGGTATATAAAAAGAGGCCAACTGCGTGGCGGGGACGGTGACTGATGAACCTGGTAAGACCGTTGAGATGTCAATATGCATAAAGTGAAGAGGAGCTCTGAGCAGCGACGTTGACAGTGAACGTTTAAACGGTGCAGGAGTCGCATTACGTGCATATCTGGATAGTGGAGCATGGTATCTGAGCATGTGGAACCTCTTCTGTTTCGGGTCACTCACCTTCAGCAGCTCAGCTCCTACGGTACCTCTAGTAGTGTAGTCTCTTAAAGCTCCCTGAAATAAGGCAAGGGGGTTAGGAGTGCCGCCTCACGACATTTAAAAGCCACCTTGGGCATCGAATTTCATCTAATTTTTTCTCCAAACTACCTTGAGGTAGCAATGTTTGTCCGATTTACCGATTCAGTGTATATTGCCTTACTTACATCCAAGGTATCTCCGAGTTGCCCTCTGACACAAATCTGCAAAGGGACTTGTATAGGGCTGAATAAGAGACAGCTGTTTGGCCCACTTTACATGTGCCAACCCTGACCCTTCATGACAACAAAGCATCAAGCCATCACCACCAAACAGCTTTCATGCATCTTTTATACCCAGATCATCTACATTCCCTTTCCTCCTCCATTGATTCGCTTCTCATTGCCCTACATACCTCTCAACATCAGCAGCTAGACTACAGGGTTTCGTGCTCGTGAGGAGATCGGAAGGCTCCACCCCTGAGTGCTGCGGGAGCTGCAGCTTGGACCGCTTTGACCTTGTCTTCACAACTTGCACACTACTTGACAACTACATACGTACCAGCAAACCTACCTACACGCCTGGACCGAATCTATTACGGATATCTCGGGTCTGGAAATGACTGCGAGTATAGCATTGGAACGATAACAGCCCCCAGGCTCACTTGAGCGGCATCCCAAGCAATGACCTCCTACTCGAACCTCAGATCTTCAGGTGCTTCCATAGACGGTATGGAAGCCGTTGAACTGAAAGACAGAAGGGCATCTACGAGCGGCCGGAAGTCGGGTGATTTAGAGGCAGGCGAGGAAGATATCGGGGTACCCTCTTCCTCTTGGAACGGCGCACCCGGTCCCTCCCAAGGGGGTCATCGCAGGCAGGAATCCCACGGCGCCGAGGACGAAGATGGTTCCGAACTCGAACTTCTCTTGGACCCAAACTTGCCTGCCGAATACAGCCACAAACTTGGCGATCTCACTCGAAAGTCCCTTAGCTTCGACGACAATCAAGTAGGGGTCAAGTTCGGCGAAAGTGAGGACGAGGAGGAAGAGGTAGAGAACTCACCTTATCCAGAAGTCCGAGCTGCCGTTCTCAACTTTGATCAGGACCTGCCATGTAACACCATCAGGGCGTGGACCATTGGACTTGGGCTCATATTCCTTGGGGCTTCAATGAACACCATCTTCTCATTGAGAGCCCCATCAATCAGTCTCGGGTCACTTATTGCCCAGATTATCGCTTGGCCGCTGGGACATGGCTGGGCCAGGTTTATGCCGGAACGTGAGTTCAACACCTTTGGTAAAAGGTGGACTTTGAACCCGGGGCCTTTCAACATCAAGGAACACTCTGTCATTGTTGTTATGGCCAGTGTCTCCTTTTCTGTAGCCTACGCTACCGACATCATTTTGGCCCAAAAGGTGTTTTACAAGCAGGACTTTGGCCTATTATGGGGGGGTCTCCTTACGATATCGACGCAGAGCCTGGGCTATGGAATTGCTGGAATGCTAAGAAGATTTCTCGGTAAGTTCTGTATGATTTCCAAGGTTACAAATTCATTCATTAACTTTACTATCATCGATCCAGTCTATCCAGCTTCCATGATTTGGCCGGGTAACCTCGTGGGAGTTACCTTGATGCACGCCATGTACGGGCAGAACGAGAAGAAGAATCCCACAATAATGGGTGGCTCGATCGCTCGGTACCGGTGGTTCGCCTACATCACCCTCGGCTCTTTTTTGTACTACTTCATCCCCGGTTTCTTTGCACAGTTCCTTAGCTCTTTTGCCGTTGTGACTTGGATGGCACCAAACAATCCTGTCGTCAACCAGTTGTTTGGCTACTCGACGGGCCTCTCCCTGCTTCCGATCACGTTCGATTGGGCGCAGATTACGGGATATGTTGGCTCGCCTATGGTGCCTCCATGGTAAGATCAAATGTCACCACCCACGCCTTCGACTCTCTAAAAGGCAATGCTAACACTCCAGTTAGGCACGCAATTGCCAATACATTGGCCGGCGTCGTGATATTTTTCATAATTGCCGCCAGCTTTTTGCAGTACACTGGAGCGTGGTACGGCAAGTACCTGCCGATGAGCGACTCCAACGTCTATGACAATACGGGCAAGACATATGATGTTTCACGAGTCCTTGGCAAGGAATTTACGCTCGATGAGGCGGCGTATAACACTTACTCGCCTCTGTTTCTCAGGTGCGTTGCGCCCCCTCCCTCTTGGTGTGATTCAACCTACAGCTGTGATCTAACTTGAGCATAGTACAACATTCGCCATAGCGTACGGTTTGTCCTTTGCTGCCATATCCTCACTGATAGTGTACACGTACCTACATCATGGGAAAACAATCTGGAGACAATGGAAAAACAGCACCAGTGAGAGGCCTGACGTGCATATGAAGATGATGAGGAAGTACAAGGAGGCCCCGACGTGGTGGTATATGTCGCTCTTTGCAGTGGTGAGTACGAATTTTTGCCTTGACTTACACATACCATGTATAACTAACCACTGTGCATCGAACTAGATGCTCGCCCTAGGCTTCTTCACCGTTCTTGGCTGGCAAACCAACCTCACATGGTGGGCCTTCCTCCTCGCCGTCTTCATCTCGTTCGCCTTTTCCCTTCCCATTGGTATCATCCAAGCCGTTACCAACAACCAAATCGGCCTGAACGTGTTGACCGAGTTTGTATTTGGATACATCCAGCCAGGCCGCCCTCTAGCACTTATGATGTAAGAGCCCTCCTCCCTTTCTTCTTGCTCTCTGTCCCTTTTATCCATACCCAACTAACCAAAACCGCACCCCTTGCAAAATAACAGCTTCAAAACCTTTGGCTACATAACCATGTCCCAAGCCCTCACCTTCGTCGGCGACCTCAAATTTGGTCACTACATGAAACTTCCCCCCCGCGTGCTCTTCTCCGCCCAAGTCGTCGCCACCACCTTCTCCTGCATCATTCAAATCCTAGTACTCAACTACGCCCTCCGCACTATCCCCGAAGTCTGCACCCCTTCCCAACCTCAACACTTCACCTGCCCTGGCGGTCGCGTCTTTTTTTCCGCAAGCGTCATCTGGGGCCTCATCGGTCCCGCCCGGATGTTCTCCCCGGGCCAGATCTACTCTTCTTTGTTCCTGTTTTTCATCCTGGGAGCCGTCGTGCCCTTGGTTATTTGGTTACTCCTCCGTCGTGCGCAAAAGCGGAATCCGCACACAAAAACATGGCTGCGCTACGTCATCGCGCCCGTCATCTTTGGCGGTGCGGGCTCTATCCCGCCTGCGAGTCCGCTGAACTATTTGAGTTGGGGCATTGTCGGGTATGGGTTTCAGTACGTGGTGCGCAAGAGGCACTTTGGGTGGTGGAGCAGGTTGAACTTCTTGACAAGTTGCGGGCTCGATCTAGGACTGGCGCTGGCGACGCTGGTGGTGTTTTTCGCCTTTACGATCAACGAGATTAGTCCGCCTAGTTGGTGGGGAAATGAGGTGGTAAAAGGCACGTTGGATTTCAAGGGGATGGCGGTAAGAGAGAGAGTGAGGGAAGGAGAGATATTTGGGCCGAGGGTTTGGGCTCTTGGAGGAGGAGGAGGAGGAGGAGGAGTCAGGGTAAAATACTACGACCGTGTTATACTAATACGAGCTCAGAGATTTGGGGGAAACAAGGAAAGACGGACAAGAAAGAAGTGCCAGCCAACAGATAGCCCAACCAGTTATTTCGTTCACCGGCCAAGTAGCCTGGTCAGTCCCTCTATGAATCCCGTGGTGTCATCGATGCACGCTATCGGCTGCAGCGTGTCCCTTTCAGTTTTCAAGTTGAAAGAAACCCGGCCACGTGATCTGCCCCGTCCGAGAATCAAACTTGAAGTCGGACGGGACCACGTTGGGAGATGCAGAGCTGGTAGCGGGACAACTGGCTGCGCTATCCGACCAGTGAGAACTGAATTGAACTGGTCAACTGGTTGTTGGCTGTCAAGAGGTACCTGTACGTAAGGTTCGTAAAGGTCCATCCTCTCTAAGTGAGTGTACAAACTAACATCAAGCCACTAAAGCCCCCCGCCTACCTACCAATTCCGTCTCCAGAAGTTTGTGCAACAACAGACTTTGCCTCCTTTAGGTTGTAGGTACCTACGGTACAGTCAGCCATGACATTCCAGCCGAGCCGCATGCGTAATTCCCCCTCCTTATCACCAAGGTGCTTCTTCCCCCGTCCACGCCCACGTCCGATATCCTTGACACGGGGCATATCACCCGCCTCCCCCATGCTTAATGCCGCTCTTATGGCATGATGTGACCAGCCACCGTCCTTTCAGTGCCGTATGCTCCGCCGTTGTGCGGTGTCTTAATCCTCCAGCTATTGCGTCGATGACGCTATCTTTGAAGGGTCGCGATGGAGTGCTCTGCCGCTTTTCTTTCGTGAGACGACCCTTGAGTGCTGTATATTTTTGGTGCCTTCACTCTGTCTGGAGCAGCTGCAGTTACTACTGTACTGGACGATGGTGGACAGATCGTTGGCGAAGTAAGCACCACAATAACTTGTCCATCTGTCAACAAGACTCGAGATTTAGCAAGCAACAAACATCTCTCATCGCTTGTATTCCACCTTGACCAAAAGCCGTATGATCGGTGTTCTCCAGAGAGATATCAGGAGCGGTTTGATATCAGGAAGAACAAGCAAGAAAACTGCTACAGAGTACTGTGGCCAAACATAGGTACCACCTTTCATCAACTGACCAAAAAAGGGCCACCGCAACCCGCACAAACGGCATCGCACATGATTGCTTTTCTTCGGCACCTTGACAGGGGTTCGTCCGAAGCTTTCAAACAACCCCTGGATGATTGCCCAGCAGCGGTAGTGGTGAATTGGTGGCTTGCCTTCAATGAACCGTTGGCATGCCGACCAGGCCGACCCAACGGCCGAGATTCTCTTCATCCCTTGTGACTTGCGGGACCTTGCATGGCAGGCGATGCGCTTGTCAGCCCAGCAATCGACCAGCCCTTCTTCTGGAAAGACAAAATATGACAGGCTGATCATCTGCTTTTGCTTCGAGCTCCAGCTGTTTCCATTTCGTTTACGCTGCTTTTATACATAGGTATGTTCTATGTATCCATTTTATTTTGTTCGCCAATGCTCAGCTCCTGAAACTGCCAATGAGACCGCCACATCGTCATTGGATGTTATGAATTAGTGAGAACTTCTTTCCATCCCGCCAGTCTGGGACAAGCCACCTTGTGGACATCTTGTGTTTGTGTATTCAGCACGGCATGTTTCCAAGCGCACAAAGTCACTTCTCTGTAGCGTCCCGTCCAGAGACAGCAGTTGGCGCGGGAAAGCGCGAATTATTAAGGTCTGTGTGCCCTTCTGGTTGGTCGACTTATCATGGCCGATCAGTAGCATGCCTCGCTCGCCAGCTGCCGGAATGAAGCTCGGAAGGGTGCGTTGCGTTTGTTATATTCGAGCTCTTCTTGTAGTTACAGTGTGGATGTTTGATATTTAGGGATGAACATGGACCAAGTTGTCGTTTGTGTATGAGACTGGGCAGGAAGGAGAGAAAGGCCCATGATACCTCACGAATGAGTACATGGTCATTTCATTTTCTTCGTTTCACTCCAGCCGTCCCTTTCCATCCGATATATCCTGGTACACGAGCCGAAAAACATCCATCAACGAAGGCCCAAACTTTTGATATAAAACGTGCGCCTTCACCTTCTCTCAGTACTTTCTCGTTGTACCGATGCTTGTGGATGCGAAACCTTCCCATCAACTTTGGACACATAGATAGCGCTCCGCGTGATTGATCGATATCTTCAACGCCGTCCACATCTTCTACATCGAGACTGAGATTTCGCCTGGTCAGGCACCCAATACCGCTATCATGGAGAACTTTCTCATCGGCAAAGACGCCACTTTGAACCTGAGAATGGGTATCACTTTCTCGAACGACCAGGCCCCAGAAGAAGTTCAGCCCACATCAGCAAAGGATGGCCAGTCTCTGATTGACCAGGTCATTGCTGCCACGGGGCCGAAGGCGCATCCAAGATTGGCGCAGATCATGCCCAGTCTTGTACGCCATCTCCACGATTTCGCCCGAGAAGTTAACCTGACAGTCCCGGAGTGGAAGGCAGCCGTTGACATGGTGCGTGATTTTTGATGCGCCTGTTTCGCGATCACATTGGCTGTTTCTAACCAACACTTCATTTAGCTGAATGAATGCGGCCAAATCTCCAACGACCGACGCAACGAAACGCAACTTCTCTGCGATATTCTCGGCCTCGAGTCTCTCGTCGACGAGATTACTTCGAACCTGCTCGCCAGTTCCAACGCCGGCACACCATCAGCAGTCCTGGGTCCGTTCTACAGGCACAACGCGCCTCTTCTACCCAACGGCAGCTCCATCGTCAAGAACCTGACGCCCGAGACACCTTGGTTCAGCCAAGCCATCGCAGACTCGGCCTACATCACAGGCCGCGTCCTGTCCACCGACGGCAGGCCCATCCCCGGTGCTATTGTCGACACCTGGCTTGCCGCGCCGAACGGACTCTACGAGCAGCAGGATGAGTCCCAGACCGACATGAACCTAAGGGGTCGGTTCAAGACTGACCAAGATGGCCGCTTTGCGTTTTATGCGCTGCGGCCGACTTCTTATCCGATTCCGTTTGATGGTCCCGCGGGCAGGTTCTTGACCTTGCTGGATCGGAACCCCAATAGGCCGGGTCATATCCACTTCGTCGTTTCGGCACCAAGACATCGCGCGCTGACGACGCAAATCTTCGATAGCCGGGACAAATATCTGACGGAGGATGCGGTTTTCGCGGTCAAGGATGAGTTGGTGGTCAAGTTCTTGCCCCATAAGGGAGACTCCAAGGCGCGCTGGTATCTTGAGTATGATTTCGTTTTGAGCAGGGAGGATTAGGCTTTACAGTATGGGAGACCGCAGTAGGTCAGCAGATGGTATAGAGCTTTGGGGAGGCATACAATGGCGCATAGGTTGATTCTGTATATTGGTGTTCCTTTGTTGGCAAAGATCCCCTGGCCACTTCGTTTTAACAGGCTTCATTCAGATGGCTCGTCTTCAACCATCGATGGAGATAAGTACAGTCAAACCTTTCCTCCATTCATAGTTTGGCTTCAGACAAGTTGAGCTTGAACCATGGCTATCGTCGCATTTGTAAAGCCGGATAAGCCGTAAGATCTGGGGTTATTTCAGCGTCGCTACATCCTTATGATGATGTTAACCCATATTTGAAAAGTGATAGATTGGCACGCTTCCGCGTAACCCTGACGATGGTATATGTGGATCGACCCGAAGAGGATATGATTCGTATGGATCGGACGAAACAGCTGTGCTCGGGGGAAGAAACTGTGGAGCGATATGAGCCAGTTCAGGTGCTGTTGAAACATGCGGCGTGAGCTGTAAATAGTTGTTCCAGAGTTGGTCGAATTCCCACTCGTCAGATACTTCAGGGGGCGAATGAGTAAAATGACCAGGGCGTAGGGCGAGTGGAGGTGCCATAGGTGGAGTCGTCGATGATACTGTAGACATTCCGTTCATTACCACTTCCGGGACAGTGGCTGAAGGGGTCGGGATAAATACATTGGGAGCCTTCTGTGGCCGCGAAAAGGATGGTGAAGGCACAAGAGGCTGGTGTGAAATGCTGCATATTCTTGAGCCTGCCGGGTCCACGGGACTCGGGACACTCGGAGCTGAGCTACCATTCTCCCGTGACATGCGAGAACTGGATGCTTTGGTATAAAGGCAGCTAAGGTCCGCTGAGAGGACTGGAGCGGCATGCGAATGATCCTTAGTCCAGGTCTCAACCACTTGTGCAAAGTTTTCCATTATTTCGAGCACCCTCTCTGCTTGTGGGTCAATTTCTGCACAGTATTTCATGGTTGAAATCGCGTCGGTGATAGTCTTGTTATATGTATCGGCGTAGTAGAGTGAGGTGAACTGATTCATAAGGACGATGAGGCTCGCAGCGAAGAGGAAATAGCTGAGACGCGTCAGATCAGATTCGAATGTATCATTAAGGATCAAAACGGATCTAACTTACATGAAGAAAGGATTTCTTTGTGGGAGATACTCATCCTCTCTGGCATGTTGTATCAATTGAATAGTCTGGTAAGATGCCACAACACAGGCTTCGGAAAACTTGGCCATATGAGACTCTCGGTTTAAGGGTGGGTTTGCCTTCCCAGAGCGTTGTTGGTCGAGTTTCCAGTTGTGCATAATGAATATTTGCCTGGTCAGGAGAATGAGAGAGTGCAATGACAGGAGATTGGCGTGAAGAGCTGCTATACCCTGCTCCGGGCTTGTCGGGCCTTCTCGTGATTGCTGCGGCGTCAGGTTTGCAAGTGAGGGCCGCCTCCAATATTTGGCCATGTTCGCGATATCCTGGACAACCGAGGTGGAGATCTTTCGCTTTGAAAACACACGGAGTGTTACGCCAATGACACGGCATGATTTAACACAGGCATCGAGGCATCCAAAGTGCAATGACTCGGGTCCATTTTCCCCTACGGTTGATAAGTCGGCGATATCATCATTAGTAGTAAGTTTGCATGAGCAATCCTCTTCGACGATGGCAACGGGTCTCCCCAGGGACGCGGCAAGGAACCGGTCGAGGATGAACAACGTCTTCCACAGATTCCGTCTCACCTCTCTTTGCGTCGATTCTGGGTAGATAAGCGGATGCATTGTCTCCTCTCGATGGAGACCTAAGGCATAGGCAGACCGCACAGCCATGCCTGGTATTGATATGTCAATCCTATGATCCGAGTTTGGGGGCAAGACTAGGGAATCTCACCCAAGTATGCATATGCAGTATTTCGTTTGGAAACCGTGAGCATGTAAACAGCCATCAAGCAAAGTGCTTGAATAGACCAAAAGTCGGCATCTTCGAACCCGTACTCGGGATCGCACATGGACTTGGCACTTCGATAGAAGAGTTCTGCCATATCCTGCTTTGCGTCGTACAGTTTCTTGATGATCTCCTCTTCCCGGCTGCCTGGCTGAGGGGCCGAAAGAAGCATTCCCAATGCGAGTACAAGGAAAAGGTGACATGTCGAATATCTGCTGGCCGATAGGGGATCAGCGTAGATGATTTCGATACTTTCGCAAAATGATGACTTGTCAAAAACTTCGATCAAGCCCCGTGTCTAAGAACCCCGATTAACAACCATTCAAGATTGACAAGCGTCGCTACTCACATTCGTAAAATACGACTCAACCAGAACGTGCACGGTTTCTTTGTCCGGTAGGAAGCATGGGAGCTTGGTATTTTCTGGAAAATCAATAATGTTTTCCATGATTCGGTGCCGCTTCGGATCATGAACAAAGTCGGACCCTAGGATCGGCCCCGCAGTACTCTCGACGATGATGCGAATCAGTTGTAGGATAGAGAGAGTAGACGAGTCCCCGATATAGACTTACAAGTCAGCACTACAAAACCAAGGATTAAGTGAGCAAACTTACGGAGTCGACCCGTCTGATCCTGTAACATCCTGGTTTCGGTATAGATAGTTGCTTCCTCTGCTTGCCCATATGTACTGCTTCGGCCAGAAACATTTCCCGAGCTGTAAAGGGACGTTTTCCCGGGATGTTCGAGCGAAGCTGAAGAGAGCGGTTCCGCCAGGCCGGACATGGAAGAGTTTTCCCTTCTTAGACCCCGACTCCGCACCTCATCCCATGGCCGATTGAAATCGGTACTCCCAATATTGGTCAGAGGCCTTGTTGAGGCGTCCAAAGCAGCTGGGATGGCTTGTGGTGAAGGTTCTCTCGGCTTCCGTCTAGTAGGGGATCCGACGTTTTCGCCTGCGCCGTGCTCTGAGGCGCTGTTTGGGGTGTAAGAGCAGTTCAATCTTCTCTTCACACAGGTCTGACAGGGCTTTTGACCATTGCACTGCCAAAGAATTGTATTAGTGCATGCTCGAAGGAGTGCTCTTTAGTGTGTATTAAGGTCTATGGAGGCGAGCGAACTTCAGGAAGACAAGAAGATCACGAATAAATAGTGCTTGAATCAGAGTTTGAGAAGCGACAGTATCCATCGGAACTCAGAAAGGCCCAGAAAGATAAGAGGATGTTGTATCCCAGCCGCATACGGAGATCGGCTGACTCGGGAGGCTAATGATAAGGGTGCTGCGATGGGTCTGTGGCACCCAGGGCATATTCTGACACCCGAGAGTAGGGTGCTTGTAAGAAGAGTTATGGCTTGGGGCAGACATTGATCCGGCAAGCAACATGAACGAAATCGGATATCTCAGCCTCTCGAACCGTGGGCGACAGAGAACCGGTGAAGATAGATAGAATAAGTCAAACAAACAACGAACCTTTTGCTTCCGCCGTTTGCAAGAGTCACAAGCCTGGGCTGTGCGTTGACGCTTGTCGTCAGGCACTTTTGGTCGCGTCATGACGAAATAGGTTAGGGAGTGATAAGCACAGTCATCCCTTGGTCGGGTGGTAAAGACTCTTTCTGAAACGGGATAGAGGCGAGAAAGCACACAACGTGGGACAGGCCGGAGGGCGGAGCGGGGGTTCAGCGAAGTCGCGGATACTGGGCCTCGACTGATATGGGAAGCGGAAGCGGCGCGGTGGCCGTTGGGTAACGGAGCGGATGATGCACGGGTGGACACCCCGGTAGCAAAGCCGGGAGTGGAGCGAAGATGATCGGAAGATGCGTATCAGCGTATGTAAGGTCGCCCGGGGATTGAAGGGTTATTGGAGCTCGTAAAGACAGATTCTGGTACCGGAGGCTATTGGCACGATCCGATGCGCCGTGGCCGGGCCGGGGTGCTCGATCTGGACTTTGTCGTGGCCTAGAGCCTGGTTGCTTGGAGATCGGTGCTCAAACAGCTTAATCCACCTTGGACGTGTCACGCAACATGGAGCCGTGATCAGCAACGATAGAATCGGGAGCAGGGTGCGAGTTGTTGGATGATTAAGAAAAAGCGAGGCAAAAGCATCCTTTACGGGGCGGAGGAGACACGAAGAGGAGATGGGAAGAGAGGGACTCGGCTCCAAGTGTCTGTTTGCCGTCTCGTACTGTCTGTCAATGGTTCGTATGTCGTAAAATGGATGATCGATCTGTGGTTTGTCGATGTACCTAGCACTCGAGCGGTTCTGTCGCTTTGCGCCCAAGGATACCCAAACCCAAATAAGTGCTCGCATAGGTCTTTGTTAGGTAGTTTTAGACAGTGACGAGAAGGCTGGCTCAGTTAGGCATGATTTCGGACTTGCACGCATGGAGGAGAAGGTACCGCCACAACAGGTACAGTCGGATGGACGACTAGCGTGGCAGCTGCAGCACTACCTTGCCGATATTGCAATTAAGTACGGGAAGCGTCCAGATGTCGAGACTCCAAGTCGACAGAGCAATAGCTCTGCTAGTGGCCGGGCCGTACCAAAATAACCTGCTGCTTCTGTGCACCGTATATTTCTTGTGTCGAGAAACCATGGTCCAGGACGCCGTGCAGGGCACTCAAATACCTCCAGGTTGATGACGGCTGTACCGACGTTGTAGTGCCTTCTGTACATACGTACAGCAAGTTGTACAACAGATAGACCGAACATGTCCTTGGTCCCCGGCCACCGTCACCGCATGTCTGTGTGCTTGACGGCGAGGCGCCAAGCGAAAGCCTTGGTATTGGATCACGGGGAAATAATGGCACTGAAGGCCCTGAGCCTGACGACGGAGAGGCTTGCCTGTGACGTCCATTGAGAGACGGCCAATGCCATCAGCGCCACGGACATGATGCTTCCATCATGCTCACCTTTGTGAGTGGCATACGGTGCCCGTGTCGGAATCAGCACTGCTCCCAAGGGCCTCGGGAATCCTGTCTCGCCTGTTTTCGAAGGCAGAGGTCAGCTTCGGGAACACAGCCGGGGATTGATACGACCAGGGCTGCAAGGAATATCCCATATCTGGTTGCCTCAATTCTGTGTGTTCTCAGCTCGACCAGGCCGGCTGTCCCGTCTAAGAAGAGTCCGCGACCATGCTCAGTTTCCAAGTCCATAGGAAGGTGTTTTCATGTTTGCCCAAGGTTGCGGCACTGGCGCCTTGCAACTGCAAGTTTGTGCAGCGTGATACATTACGTCGGCTGGACCCGTTTCTTCTGTTCGAGTCTTGGAATCGAGAGGTAGGATCCGTCAAGGAAGCGCAAAGTACCCAACTTGAAGGGTGGTTGTGTGTTGACGTAAAGAATATGTAGACAACCAAAAACTTTTGTTGGGTTGAAGTTGAAGTTTGAAGTCTCGAGGTTGAAAATCTGACGGGAATGAGACTGAGAAATGGAAGACAGAAAGTGGGTCTCTAGAGCCAGGTGAGGTTTCTCTGAGAGTGGAGAGAAGATCCGCCGGCCAAGTGCTGTCTCTGCTCTATGGATGACGGAAAGGGTCCTGTACTTCGTCGGATAATGCACCTAGACTTGCCCCTGGGCTAGGTGTTTCCGCCGGGCCCTTCCGTCCGGGCCTTTACCCGGGGCATCATCTGACATGCCATCTTGGAGTCACAACATCATGGGTGTCCTCGAGTTCTTCAACACATCCAACATCAGTCCAATCATCAACAGCGGACGTTGATCACATGTCCACAAGGCAAGCAAGAGCTGATTTTCAACTTCTCATCCCGCCCCGGCAAAAGATGTGGTATTGTGGATGCGTGGTGGTGTAAGTGATGAGCATGTCGAGGGATTATGGTGAGTGCTGACCTTAACAGTTTCCCCGCCAATATCTTGGACGTGCCGTTAACGATTACATTACAACCACAACTCGGAAACCTCCTGATCAAGTCCAGCTTGATGATCCAACACATGAGGTTCCTATTTCTGGACTTTTGTCGGAATACCACTTGGTGCTGCTGGCTTGCTTCGGCAATAACTCGTCAACAAGTCCTGATAAGCCCAAAACTCCAACCCCTTCCGAGCTTCTTCAAGTCGAGATCATCTCTCTCTCTCTCTCTTGAAATGACGCGTGAATCATGAATGCACATTGGTAGTTTCCTATCACCCACTTCATGCTTTTGGACATGGATCGCATCGGAGCATGACCGGTGGAAAGGAAGGAAGCTGGCAAATCACTTCCAAAGCCTCCCCGGCCTCTCTATACGTACTGCTTAAATCATGCAAAACTAGTCCGCCGATACGCGCGTCTCACTCATCACCTCAAGTCACACCTGGACAAGGCGAATAGAAGGCATCTGAATCCGATCACTTCGCAGCGTAAAGCGAAGAAAAAGTCGATCAGTCGTTTTTACTATGGCTTCGGATTCTTCTTCACGTTCGGATCGACAGGCATGAGAATAGTTTCAGGTTGAATGCGGATTTCGAGGGCTGGTTGACAGGGTCTTTGAGCCTAGTTCCATGCTCTCAACTTTCCGAGGCCACTAGTTCGCCCAGGTTTTGCTATTCTTCATTTGCGATGCAACACCCGGTCCTTGCGGGTCGCCCCTTGGAGTCTGGAAACACGGAATGTGACACGGCCCAGCTCCGGCAAAGCGTTCCAAGCCCCCAACTCCAAAGCTTGCCGGGTGAACACACTAGAGGCTTGTCTTGAAGCGGCTCTTTCTGCCTTCTGGATATCAAAGCGCAACTGCTACGCCAGGTGTAACCGGATTTACCTTGTTCAGTCTCCCAGAGATCATCAGAAGAAGGGCAAGAACTTTCCACTACGTGCTGAGAGCCGTCATTACATGGCTGTTGAGCTCCCACACCTGCATCTAAACCCTTTGGAAATGACATTATTCCAAGCAGCTTGTGGTTTGTCCAAGTTACCACGGGTCGCCCCCAGACTTCAACTGTTCAACATGCGGTGAACGTGCATGCAAGAGACCAGGTAACTCCTCGGTTACTCCCTACAGGACAACACTCGACATCACACACGGATCCCCCACGTCTAGGAACGGTCTCAAGCACCCAATGTGCGGGTAGATGGGTGCGGAGTGCAGCACACTCGCCGCACGTTCATCTTAAGATGGGGTTTATTTGGTGTGACCGGCCCAAGAGATCCAAAAAGATAACAGCCTCTGCCGCTCCCTTGCCCCCAGAAACTGGCCCCCGGTCGAGTGCAGCGTAGTAGCGTGGCCCTTCTTTACCTCGTGACGGCGTTCCGAAGAGCCGAGGGCCAGTATGCTGTTCAACCTCTTAGAGACGGCCGAGTTACCCCCCATTGGCAGTCATGTCCTGCCAGGTCCCGATGGAACTGCCGGGACATTATGTCCTTAAAACAGAATATCCAGGTCTCGTGCAGAATCTTTGTCGACGCATACTAGTCCAAATTTGCAAGTCATGATGTTTTTTTTTCAAAGGTTTGGATGCCTCACTAGCCTCGCGGGCTTCGCGAGGTAGCTAGGTAGATATATCTATGGAATAAGTTGGGATCGTTAGTCGGATGAACAGCGTCTGACCGCGCCCCTTTGCTGTTTCACCTAGCACTTGGTTCCCTTAGGTCTGTTTGATATGACATGAACCAGAAGATCATAGCATTTGAAGAGACGTGGAAGCAACCTTGATGAGGTCATGGTGGGTAAAATGTGTTTTAGGAGCTCGGGGTAATATCAGACTAACACAAAGATCACATTTCCCTCTCATATTTTTCTGTTGCCACTTCTTCTCTGAACCAGTCCGCTTCCTTCGTCGACCAACCGGATTCAAACCATATCTCGAAGAGTGGAGCGGGAATAGGTCCCTTCACTCATTATTCCCCCGCCTGCCTTTGGTCCGAAGGATGATACCTCGACATTGTACGATCATAGGGACTGGTCAGTGAACAGTGCTCCTCGGTAACCTTTGAAGCGACCTTGGAAAGCGAGAGCGCAAAGTGAACACTGGCCATTTACTTGGGAAACCTTGAAGTTTTGCACGGCAGGTGTGTTATAAAAGAAACTGATGGCTGCAGGAATTCCCGAACTCTTCCCTCTTCTCTCTCCTTTACCACGAAACTCCTCAACTGTAATTTGCACATATCTAGTATGCGTGTCTCATCCACCCAACCCGATACTCTGAGCACCGGTGGTCACTCAGCATCCAACAGCATGGACAGCTCGGCTACCCGACCTTATTCTGTCGCCACTGGCGCATCAGAGGCTTTTGACGAGCTTTTGAAGCAATGCAAAGGTCAAATCCCCAAAGAGTTTGGCTCCTATTCCGGCAACGTTACGTTCGTTCCTTCCAACCATGGGGATCAAGTGTACTTCCCGAGCCCTTGCCGAGAACAAGATGCCATAGCATCCATCAAGGCCCTTGAGGCATGTGCTGCTGCTGCCATTGGCGACCTTCGTCATGGAAAGAACTCACGATCGATCAAAGTGGATCTCGACAAGGCAGCCTGCTTCCTAATGTCGGCTTACCTTGCTACCATTGACGGCAAGCGCAAGGGTCAGACTCCGAAGGGGTTGATTCCAGGTAAGGCATCTTCACTTACGACTCCCATGTAGCCAGTTGTTCCTACAGAGGATTAAGAACGCATCTCACTGACTTGGACTACAGACACCGACTTCAACCAGGCTCAGTCCATACAGTATCGTCGACTTTCCGCGAATCTCTACGAGACCAAGGAGGATGGCAGATACTACCATATCCATGGCTCACTCGACGCTACTACTCAACTCCGCATGATCGGCCTTCCGCCTTTTAATCCCCGATTGACCGACTATCAAAAGTGTATTGACACAATTGAAGCCGCCGTGAAGAGATTTACTGTCGCGGAACTGGAGGATATGAATAGCAAGCACGGACAAGCTGGTGTGGAGGCCCTTAAGTGGGAAAATTTCCTGGAAACCACTCACGGAAAGGTCATATCGGCATTGCCTCCTTTCACAGTCAAGGCCATCAAGGTACAGCAAACGACGGTACCGGAAACTCCGCCACACACACCCACGGAGACGAATTTCCAAAGCCATCTCTGGCCGAAGATGCCCGCAAATGTCTCTCAGTACGCTTTGCGTGGCATCAAAGTCATCGAGATGTGCCGCGTCATAGCCGGTCCGACCATTGGCCGCTCACTTGCCGCCCACGGGGCTCAAGTGCTCAAGGTGACCGGCCCCAAACTTCCTGATGTGCCCTTCTTCCAAGTCGACGTCAACACCGGGAAGCACACTACCCATCTTGATCTTCGCAACCAGAGTGATCTCAAAACATTTCAGAACCTACTCGCCGAAGCCGACGTTCTCATCGACGGATACCGGCCCGGCGCCCTCGCCAAATTTGGCTGCGACCCTCAATCGCTGGCCAAACTAGCCCAGCAGCGCGGGAACCACGGCTTCGTCTACGTAGCCGAAGATTGCTTCGGCGGAACAGGTGTACCCGGAGCCGAATGGGCCGGTCGTCGCGGCTGGCAGCAGATCGCTGATTGCGTCACGGGCGTCGCGTGGGCTCAGGGCCAGTTCATGGGACTAGAAAACGAGCCCAGCGTGCCGCCCATGCCCATGTCAGACTACGGCACTGGCGCGTTGGGTTGCGTGGCCGCCATGGCAGGCCTGTACCAGCGCGAGACTAAGGGCGGGTCGTGGATGTGTCGGACCAGTCTCTGCCAGTATGACATATTCTTGCTCAAGCTGGGAATGCTTCCGCTTCAGGAGCAGGAGCGTCTGAGAACGGTGTTCGCGGGCCCGTTCTTCAAGTTGCGACATTATGACTCTGTCGACAAGGTCAGTGGAGAGGCGCTCAAGGCTATGCAGCGCGCGTACCCGCATCTGTTTGGGCCGGATTTGATGCTGAAGGCGAAGAGCAAGGGCTTCAATGGCAAGGATATTCGCTGGCCGAAGGAGGCGATCGAGGTGGAAGGACTGCTAATTCAGCATGTGCGTGCCTCAAGGCCGAATGGGTTTGACAGGCCTGGCTGGGAGGGCTGGGAGACTGATTTGATCATGGATGGTGAGGTGGATTTGGCTGAAGATAATGCCGTCTTCACCAACACCAGTGTTACACCTGCGCCGAGAGAGGAACAGCATCAACAACAGGCCGGAAGTGGAAGCATGAACTCAGTCCCGCAGCGTCGTAACAGGATTGCGACAATGAACACTGTTCTCGCCACGGCCTAGGAGGAGCGTGTGAGGGGTGGTTCTGAGTCTGCAAAATGAAGCGCAATTTTGAGAGGAGGGAGGAGGGGGGGTGTATTTGGAGTCGTCGAAGGACATCCTGACGGGAGAGAGGATGGTGGAGGATCGATTGTGTGCGTTTCCAAAATCCTTGGCGGCTGAGCGTTGCTTTCTATCATGACTGTTTATAGTATTTCAAGCCAACAAATCAGTAGGCAAGGTCAGCTAGAAGAAGTCTACCATTTTTCATGAAAAAGAGGCAGACATTCGGTTCCGTCAGTGTGGTGGAAGAGGGACACTTGAAATGGGTTTATATGTCAAGTTATCGCTACCTAGGTAATGTTCTTCACTTCGGAAACGGATGTTGTTAATGCTATGAGCGAGATTCTGTCCGCCAAGCAGCCATAATCTCCAATCCATGCTATAGGAATTTGTGAAAACAAAATACTATAACAAGGGACCTTGGCGCAGTTGGCTAGCGCGCAGGTCTCATACCCTGTATGATCTGGCTTAACGTCAGAGTAATCCTGAGGTCGGGAGTTCGAGCCTCCCAGGTCCCATGTTTTTTGCTTTGTTTTTACATGCTGTAAAACGATTTAAATTGCTTGAGCTTTGACATCCTATTTTCATTTGTTTCTTTGTTTTATTCGGTTCCTCTTCTTTTTCTCTTCTATGTTTACTTTCTGCATGGGTAACTTCCAGCCTACAAAGGTGGAAAAACAACTCGACACCCATTAATTTGGGTACAGTGTTAGGAGATATGTTTTTTGAGTACAAATCTTGGCTAGTGGTTTGCCAATCATATATTCCCCAGCTCGAGAACACTTTCATCGGGGCTCTGTGAACAAATACTTGAAGGGGCAAGCGAATCGAGACATGCTACCTACCTTCGTTAAAGCCTTGGAGTCAGCAGCTTTGGACACACTCCCAAGGTATTGATTGATCCTTAGAAGTCAACTTTCCATTCCTTCGTCTATTTGATTCCATATCATCCGCGCGTCATTATACATAGGTTGATGCTACAGTAGTCTATACAGAACGATATCGTGTCCTACGAGTCAGGGGGGTATACCTAACCGCAACTCCTTTCCCTCCCGGCGCACCTTTCCAAGCACGCCCGCTCAATACGCGCTAATATTCGCACTCGGCTTGACATGGACCAACCGATCAATAGCCCTTCCATCATCCAGCGCCCATCCAGAAGTCATATCCAACTTATACTCCACGCCCCTCAAATAGACCTTGGCAAAGCCCTCACGGTAGAACGACCTCCTGAGGCCATCATACGCCCCGCGAAACACTTTCGCCGCGTCCCTGAACGGCAGGGTAAGCAGATGCTGCATCCTTTCCTTGCGCTCCTTCTCCCTAGCAGCCTTCTGCTTGCTCGCCGCAATGATCTGTCCGGTCTTGGTGGTAGGGAGGTTCTTGCCCACGTTTTTCTGCGCGCTAAGGGTGTTCAGCTTCTCGCACAGCAGCTGCATGCGGAAGGGCATCTCGACCTCGGAAGGGTGGTAATACTCCTTCTTGTTGGGCAAGAAGGGGATGGCGCGGCTGTAGGCGACCTCGAGGTAAATCGGGGTAGGGGTGGTGACGGGAACGGCCTTGGGCTTGCTGGTGAGGAGCTCAGCCCATCCCTTGGACTTTTTGGTGGAGGCCGAGGCTGCGCCGTCGGTGATCTGGGAGACCACCTGGAAGGCCGGCACGGCCTCGATGTGCCGGATGATGCGCCGCAAGCCCATGAAGAAGTAGCCGCCCATGCCAATGGTCATGGCGCAGATGACGCCGTAGGCATAGGGGACCCAGGTGGACAGGTCCGCCGGAGGGTTGAGGTGGACGCTCCAGTAGTTGTAGAGCGAGTAGGCGATGCAGAAGCTGCCGGTGGTGAAGCTGGCGAAGCGGAACCAGGCGTGCGAGTGAGCCTCGTAGAGGAGGGTCCGGCCCTTCTTCGCTAGCTGTTCGGCATATGAGGCGGGGACCACAGTGGGAGGAGCGGTTACGGTAGTGATGACGGTGGATGACGAGGTCGGCTTCTTCGCTGCCTTCTTAGCCTTGGAGGCAAAGAAGCGTGCCGATTGGGCGGTGCGGAAGCCGGAGCCGGAGCCAGAGCCGAAGACCAGGACGAAATGCGTTCCCGAAGCTTGAGATGCAGTCCTGGCACATGGCGCCGTCCGGTGTGCAAGCAGGACGAATTGGCTGCTGAGCCTACTAGAAATGGAAGCCATGGTGTTGTGTTGGATGACGGGCGGTAGTTCTGTACGGCGCCGGGGTAGCTGCCGGGGGACGGAGATCGGCAACGGGGTTTATGTGGATTGAGGGCGAGCGGCTCCGGTCCGGGTCCTTGTCAGTTGACGGCGGGGAGGGGAGGGAAACTGGATCACGGTGCGGCCCGGCCACCTGCTGCCGTTTCGTTGCGTTTCGGGGCTTGTACACTACAAAACCGTTCGTCAGGTTATCTTCGGACCCGGCCCCGCTTCCAGGTCTTGAATATTTTAGCGGATTCCCCTCAGGAACTCGGTCCGCAATGGAGCTCCGCTGGTGGGGACCGGTTCTTGGCTGCAGGGGAGAATTTGGAGGCCGAAGACGGGCTGACCGGGGAGAACATGGATGTCCCAACCCTTGCTGACTCTACACTACAGTAGCGCGAGGATGATGACAACCCCGGGCAACTTCCATTGAAATTTGGCTCCAGTTTTGAGTGTAGCGCGCGTCTTGCGCAGAGACAGCTGCTCGGGTGCTGCACGCCAGTGATGGTGAAGACGTCGCCCATAAATAAAAAAAGAAAATATAAAAAAAAAAAAATTTAAAAAAAAAAAAATGGTTGCCCAAAGAGGTTTGGGGACATGGGGCGCGGCGGGGGTTCATCGGAGGATTTGGAGGGTGGCCCAAGCTTCCCACGGTCGTTTCCCCAACATGTCGCTCATCGACCCTCACCAGCATCCACAAGCTGGCGACAGCTTTTTCTGGGTTGGTTCCCGTCCGTTTTCCGTCGCCGCCGGGTCCGCAGCCAGACTTCTTGACAAGAAGACAAAAAGATCCACTGCCCGCTGCCCATCCCGTCGACCTCGCGGTGGAATTTAGCATTGAACCTGACTCGTTCGACATACGTCAAGCATAAGGCTCAATTGGAGATCCCCAGCAAGCAGCAACCACGAACCCCATTCTCGATTTCCTTGTTGGAAACCACCACAGCCCTATCGCGAAATCCACGTTGACCACGCATTCCACGTCTTCGTTGCGACAACACCACATACTCGTCCGCCATGGCTTCGCTAACAGCAGCTTGTCGCATCTCTGCCAGAATGGCAGGGCGCTCCGTCAGAGGTCGGTTCTCTCGCCTCCCGTCACCTGCCCGTCAACATGATGCATACTATAGGTGTCTTGGAGGTCATCACTTACTGACTTGGAGAAACATGTCATGTAAACAGGTTTCCGGACCTCTGCCGCCGCTCTCGCCGCTCAAAACTTTACCATGCCCGCTCTGTCGCCGACAATGACGGAGGGCAATATCGCGACCTGGAGGGTGAAGGAGGGCGACAAGTTCTCTGCCGGTGACGTGTTGTTGGAAATCGAGACCGACAAGGCCACTATGGACGTTGAGGCGCAGGATGACGGTGTCATGGTCAAGATCATGCAGAACGATGGCGCCAAGGGTGTTGCTGTCGGCGCCCGGATAGCTGTTATTGCGGAGGAAGGAGATGACATTAGCTCTCTCGAGATCCCAGCCGACGCGGCCCCACAGTCCAAGCCAGCCGAGTCAGCACCCTCGGCACCTCCCCCACCGACCACCGCGGACCAGTCTAACGTTGCCGTCCCCGAATCCGCTCCTCAGAAGGCTTCGTCCAAGTCGGCTCCCAAGCCTCCGAGGAGGCAATACCCCCACTATCCTTCCGTCGCCCATCTACTCAAGGTCAACGGCATTGACGCCGCTGCCGTTCAGGATATCACCCCAACCGGCCCCGGCGGCCGTCTGCTCAAGGGTGACGTTCTTGCCTACCTTGGTAAGATTGACGCCCAGACGCCGTCCACCGTCTCCGAGAGGTTCGAGAAGCAGTCGCACCTCGACCTTAGCAACATCAAGGTTGCCAAGAGCACCGAGGCTGTCAAGGCCACTACCGAGAAGGCTCAGTCCAAGAAGCTGGATGCTCCCGCTCCTCCTCCCGTAGCTGTTGTCACCGCGCCTATTTCTCTGTCCGCCGCCATCGATGTTCAGAATAAGCTTCACAAGACCATCGGCGTCTTCCTCCCTCTCTCAACCTTCATTGCCCGTGCCACCGAGATCGCCAACCAGAAGCTACCCCTTCCCGCAAACTACCAGCCTACTGCCGATGAGCTCTTCAACCAGGTTCTCGGTCTTGACAAGGTCACTCGCAAGGAATCTCGCGGCTCTTATACTCCCACATTCGGCTCCTTCGTGGCCCCTCAGCGCGCAGCTCGCAAGGCTGATATCATCGATATTCTCGCCGCTCCCTCCAAGCGCGTTGCTGCTTCTGTTCAGAGCAAGTCCGCCGCCCCCGGTTTGACCACTTCTGGACCCAACGTCTTCAGCCTTCAGGTACCCAAGTCGGAAGAGAAGAGGGCCCAGGCCTTCCTTCATAAGATGAAGCTTGTTTTGGAACAGGAGCCTGACAAGCTTGTACGGGCCTAAAAAAAACTTAATGATCTGTTCATTCTTTTTCACTTCTTGCGCTCCCTCAATTGCCTTTTATAGAGAGGGAACAAAATGCACATAAAGCACATGGGGTTTACTTGCTTGACATATGTTGGTATTGGATTGTATGGAGTAACTTGTTAGCACTAGACTTCCACTTTTATGGCTTCATGATCTAGGTTCTCTACTCTTAATGTTCTGAGGACAACATGCGCTCTTGTGCGGACGCCTGGGCATTCTTAGTTGCGTTTCAACAGCTCAAACAACCGAGGAATGATTGCGTATGGTTGGCGTGCCTTTAGCCCATGAGCTCTGTGCTCGACGGTAAAGTTCTCCGCTCGTATGGAGATATTTGCCAGGCCATGTTTCGGTTATTTGATCAGCTCGTACGTCCAACCGCCATGCAGTTCCTGTTCATGAGCAGGTACACTGTGACCTGATCTTCACAGGTCATCTGTCAAAGTCTTGAGATACGGGAGAAACTGATTCAGTTCGAACTCGATGCTGATCAAGATCGAAAGCTAGGCCTTTGTCACACCATGGTAAGGTATATGGTGTATTGGCCATATCAAAGCCTTCATAGTAGATTTATTCTCGTCCGGATACGTTGTCAAAAGAGAAGGTCACTGGTTCATATCATGCCGACAAGTTTTTCTAGCCGCCAAGTACACTGAAAGACTTCATGGCAGTTTTAGCGTATGCGATACGACTTCCGTAAAAGGAAGAACGAGCTTGTTTTCAAATTATTTTCTCTCAAGGTCTGCCACTACAATCTTTCAAAGGGGACTGAGATTAAACCACACTATGCACATATAGTGTAGATCCCATCCTGTTCTACACTACCCATCATGTATTCGCAATAAAGATTGATAACAGATGCAACCTTTCCCGCCAAAAAAAAAAAAAAAAAAAAAAAAAAAAAAAAAAAAAAAAAAAAAAAAACCCAAGCCTCGACTTATCTCACCTTACTATCTCGATACGGTAAAGGTATCCATGCCGCCACGACCTTCCTAAAGAGCAAAGAGAAAGCCTTGTTGGGTGCATTGCAATGGATACTTCTCGGAACCACATTTAGGCACTTGATCCGAAACCTCATACGGCGTGTACCAAAAGAAATCGTACCCCTAGGGGAGATTGAACGCTAAAACCATTTCCTGGTATAAGCCGAGTGAACATTTCCCACATCACGGTGAATTCCCAATGATTGCTATATAGGCCCACCACGTCTACTTACACCTATCATCACACGGTCTGGTCCGCAATCACATATCCCAACATTTCCACCCGTCTGATATGAGGTTATACTCATGTCTCCTACATCTCCAATCACACCCCCGCTTTTACTTCTACTTCCTCGCCTCTCATTTTCCCATCTACCCATCTTGTTCAATCAAGCACTGACCATATCGTTGTTTAATATTCCAAGACCAATTTACCGACTTCTACTCTCGAGGCTATCTTCGGGTCGGGCACCCAGGACCCTCGATGAAGATCTTTGATACCTTGGCCGGTTTGCCTCCATTCGTAATCAGCTGGCCTGATGGGGCAAATATTGGGAGGACATACATGTACCTGGAAAGCTTTCTGAATCTGTGTGATGGAGACCATGGGATATGTGGTATGAATATGCGGGGACGTTGAAGTGATTGAGGGGAGGAAGGCAACGAAGGGGAGAACCGTGTTCGACGTCATGGCCTCTATATTTTTGATTCTTAGATATGAGCCAAATGGGTTGATGAGCATCCTGCACGGTTGAAGCGACCCGAAAGATGAATTCAAGTTCAAGTATGAGAAATTGCAAAGGGCTTCAATGTCCTGTTGTGAGTAGCTCTGGATCCTCAGTCCTGCGACTTTCAAAGCCTTCAATCTTCCAGTCCACTTTAGGTCCAAGCCCTTCCTAGATCCTCCGCTCACTTGCAACCAAGAATAATCTGAATAAGTCTCATGTCTTCGCAGCTTTGAATCTTCTCCAGATCTGGAACTGGAAGCGGCAACCATCCGCTTCGCGAGGCTTCAAAGTTCAAACCTGGTCTGACCAAACCCTCATGTACAACTCGAATGAAACAACTTCAAGACCATGGGCCGCGCGGCTTGTCTTAGACACTCGTGAATAACAAATGACCTGGAAACGGTTAATCTTTTTCATTTACACCTAAGGCTGCGTTTGATCTCGTACGGTCTTCGTATAGCGCTTGGAAAAGCTCAGTTCACTCAACTAGCTCGACTCAACTCAACCCAACTAAACTCAGTTCGATATTCCCAAAGCGAGTTCCAACTTCTCTCTGGACATGGATACTTGACGAAGTGGCCGCTTTTCCGAGTATTACAAACATCGCACATGGCCCTTTGTACGAGGACCGTACCAGATCAAGCGCAGCCTAAGTTGTGAATTGAGGAGATAAGTATATGGTATCAAGGGTTGTAAGGCACAGCTTTCGATGAAGTCTGTACTTGGCTAGGTTAAGATTGCATACACTAACGAGTAACGCAGCAAAGTTATCTGATGTAATCCTCGCAGAGTAAAATTCGTTAACTTTTCCAGAAAGTTTCCGGTTTCAGGTGTCGGTAAGAGCCCACGTCCACCTACGAATTAGACGTAGAAGCCCGCAGAGAATAAAAGTAGACACACAAGCAAGAACATACCTACCTGCAGGATTTTAGAACCCCACAACAGAGTCATCAGAAACAAGCTGTGACACAACTCACGACATGCAATTTAGTCGGTGCATAAGTTTCCGTCGTACACCTACCTGGGATACCCCTCTGTGTGAAGCTTCAAGGTCAAGCCATCCGACCGGGGACACATCAAGCCAGTGGCATAAGACCGAAAACCAAACCACAACAGTTAGCAGAATGAGATGAGACGAGATGCAATGAGATGAGACCATACTCAGTTCATCATCAGGCCGTTGCCCCGCATATGTCGGTGATGTCAGAAGAAGCTTTGTAAATCTGACTGGGATTAGCATGTATTTCAAGATGTTTGATCTGCCAACTTTGCGCCGCAAGTCTCCTTGTGCTTCTTTGAGACTCCTTCGGACACGCGGGTGAAAGATATATATTGTTGTTGGAGTACCCGGTAAGTTCGGATGATGATGATGACGACTGTCAAAGACGAAGCAGAATAGGACGACGGAGTTTGAATTTCTCGTTCAGAATATCGTTACTTCCAGACTTGAAGTTAGGTACACAACCAACACAAGGCGGTCATCTCACCAGTTGGGTATTGCAACAGTACAGCCTCGTGTGCGTAATTTAGAATGAAGTGTCATATGGGAAGGTGAGTTGTGTGTAAGTGTAAGCCTGTATCTACGCTCCGCATAACTCTTTCTTCACTTTGTCGTACAGTGCCGACGTGAGTGTTGCCTTGCCGTCGTCCCACATCCCATGTCAAACCGAAAGGGATCCGACTTCGGCAAGCCGGTATTTTCCTATTCATGGTTGCTTTCCGTGATACCGGCGAGATCTTCTCCATTGTGAAACGTAGTCTTTGTCCCTTGGCAATATCAATGGCGGAAAGGGTGCGGGAAGAAGCGAGACAGCGTCATCTTCGGTTTAGGGTGAGCACCCTTACCTTGCCTTACATACCTCACTTCAGCCTGCGGTCCCATGTCAACGGTCGATGTAGGCATGTGTTGTCTTGACAAAGAAGATCATGGCATGGTGCCAGCTACTCCCGGTAATCGTACGTTATGGGAGTGGAATCCAGGGAAAGGCTGTCCATTATGGGCGTATTGTGTGATATGCGTTGTTTGTGACGGATTCTTGGCACTCTGTTGTCTTTGTCCCGCGGCGACGACGAGAAGGCTATAGAGCCTCAACTACCATCCTCTAGAACCCTATCGTCCGAGACATATGGCCATGTGTATGCGAGCCAAAGAGGTCGTTGCGTTCATGTATCAAGGAACAGCCTTGTCCGGCAGATCTTGATAGCGCTGTTGAAACTTGAACCAAATGATCGCTAACGAGGCGGGCGAGGGTCTATAGATCCCACGTAGAGCCTAGTATAGTATCCATTCGTGTCGCAATACTCCAGGCTCTGTCGGCATCGTTCAACTGTAAGCCTGACAATTTCCAACATGAACCCTACGCTTCACGGAAACTGGGCATGTCAGACAACTCCCAGAAAAACAAGAGGGAATGGAATATTGGACGACAGGACCGGAAAGAAAGAAGACGGGACAAAGTTTAAGCCTCTCCCATGACCCCGGAGCACGCTACATACACCGGGTGGTTCGTGCACCCTCAAGTTGCATTAACCAAAAGGGTGCTAGCTCAATGCAAGAAAGGCCTCACCCACAAAGCAACAGGGAAAAGAAACCCACTTGCATTGTCTTCCTGCACACACTTCGCAGAACATCCAGATGCTGGCACCCATACTCACCAACCGCCATCCTCTGTCCTGCTTCAAGCTCTTTACACCCTCACACATGGGATGATGCGCATTCGGGAGGGGACATTCCCACCACCCTCTTTCACCATGTCTATGGCATACATCTAGCGATTTGAGCGGTGAGCAGGTTCGAATTGGCGTATCATAAGCCACTGAGACTCCAGCCGTGTGCGTGAGTTTGGGGGCTGGGGCGCAGGGAGGAGAGGAAAGCGGGGGCAGAGAGAGGGAAAACAAGCAAAATCAACAAAGGGGAGGCTGTCCGTCCAGATCCGCCGAGCGAACGAAGGAAGAGAATTTTCCCACGGGGTAACAGAAAATGAAGCAAGGGAAGGGTGCTTTCGGATGGGTGTTGAAAAAAGTCCATGCCGGCCGTCAAGGTGCATCTACCCAAAAAAGTGGGGTGCTTTTGCTCGGGCGCGTGATACCGTTCGTTCGTCTTGATTTTCCAGGGCGACTGACGAGGAGGAAAGAGCAAAATCCGAATCGAATCAGATGAGGAGTCTCCATTGATCAGTCCAGCGAATGTCCAGTGTCCATTCAGTCGCGAGCGAGAACAAAACGGAGGACGGAGGAGGACATTGAATGACTCTGGAGCCCCATGTGCTGGGAATCCTTGCTTGTTGCGCAATCCCCATCATGACTTGAGGAATCAGCCGCCCTTGGCGCCCTCGCAGACGTTTTTATGGCCTGGGAGTTCCCGGCTTCCCAGCCGCGCCAGCCATGTATGATAGGCCTCGGAGGATCTGCCGGAAAATGGGCGATTCTCTCTTGATGGAAGATTGGAGGAATTGGAAGGAAACAACAACAAACAAAAAGAAGAAGAAAAAACAAACACACATCGAGATACTGCCACTACTACGACGGCTAGGGTACTTCACTGTTACGACCCAAGTGCACCAGTGGATTTTGAAGGGATAAGTGCCGTATGTACGTCATTGTGGTCTTACTCCGAGAGGTTGAATGCTTCCCAAGAACTCCCAAAGATCCACTCTTTCGACCTGAGCCGTTAATTGATCTGAAGAGCATGGCGCTCTCTGAGATTGACAAGGTTGCAAAAGCTAGGAGATTGTCAGGGCCCTGCTGTTGGGTAGAGCCAGACCGTGATAAAATCACCAGCTTCCATTGGAGAAGCCCATTCGCCTTGACGACGCTTGAAGAGGGCTGCTTGTGGGCCGTACGTGCTGTTGCCGTACACTTAGTGCCGTAGGTACTGCCGTCGGAGCCGATGCAAGTCTGGCATGTAGACGAAGCTTCTTGCTACAAGAGATCATCGGCACCGGGCAGCTAAGAATGGCGCGGGGTTGTCATTGGAAAATCATTTGACCACATGGGCGTCTCAGCATGTCTAACATGCCAAGGGAGCAGCAGTTTGGCTGTTGATGAATGACACTCAAGTCCAGGATCCGATCCCGAACAGACTGTTGTCAGAGACGAAGCGAAGAAAGGAAAATCTGACCCCGGTTCTGGAATCCCTCCAAGGTTTCAGTGGGTTCGGCATGATCCAGCAAACACCATGGCCGATCTTGTCCATTTGCTTGCGCCTTCATCACCCACGCGGAGCCATGGGTTTGAGATGAGGCGGGAATGGTGACCAATGGAAGCCGAGATTTGACCACGGTCAAGAACGAGATGTAACCATATCGCGCGCCTACCTTTGTCCAAGGCGCATTCACCATTCGTTCCGTCCAACGGCGAGATAGCATCTATGAACGAGGGGGGGCCTTGTCGAACCCCGAGGTATAGCGGGCGGGGACAAGGGACTTGAGCGCAAGTTGATATTTTTCTACACTCTTGTCTATACCAGGGATACAGAAGTAGCAAAAGCGGGAGGCGGTGAGTGCAGAGGCTTCTCTCGCATGCTGCAACGGCGAGGTAGCAGCGCCGGCACTTTGGCGCTTCTGTGATAATTTATGTAGGTGGTGCAGAAGCGATAGGTAGGTAGGGTAAGAATGGGGGTTATAGTCGCATGCATTTATCCACAACGACGACCAGTGCAATACCTGCGTTCCAGGCATTGTGATGAGTGACACACAGTCGAATTGTTTTCGGCGCCCTTGATCGGATCCTGAGATATAGACTAGGTATACAACAGGTCTAAAGTCGAAACGTGCTGACCACAAGATCTGATTCACTTCCCCGCTCCAGGACATCAGGCCTTTTGGATCTTGATTTGGTCCATGCGCTCAGTGCTGCGACGATGACCATTCTGAGCTCGCACGGGCCATCTGGGCTTCAGATACAGGCGAGAGTAGAGGTACTTGGCGGATGAAATTTAGTCAAACAACGATGAGACCAAAATGGAAAGTAGATCAGATCATACGCATGTTCCCCAGCGACAAGACTGCAAGGCTGAGCAGGAAGAAAAAAGTCAAAATATGTGCAATGTACGACAATGAACCCGGTCCAACCTCCAATGGGCCGACCTCGGAAATTGTATTTTCTCGTCACTGTTGCCCACTAGTGTAAAAGACCACCAATGACAACACTAGTTGCCTGGATAAGCTACCCGGGGTCAGATATCAGTTGTACTAGCCGCTACCGAGTGGTAACATGGCCCGACCCAAACCTGGAGAGGACTTCCCGAGAACTCCACCACGTACGCCAGAGAAGCACGAGGGGACCTGAGCTTCAACCGAAACCCTATCCGCAATAGGATTCACGTTCACTACCAAACAGAGAGGTAACTAGCGAAATTTGTTCCTGGTGCTTTAAGCTAATGGCATGGCGGCTGTGAAGAATGCCGGCTTGCCGTTAGTCTGTTCAGCCCTCTCAAGGTAGTTATGCCCGACGAAGGATTCAACACACCCAAGCGGAGAAAACAAACTGCTGGGTCTCCAAAGTGTCAGATAACGGTATTGGTTGACTGGACATTGATCTTCCTGTGGCGTTAGTGTCCTGAGGCTGTAGTGTACAGGATAGCCAACCAGGCCAGCCTGAGTTCAAGCCACGTTCGTCTACCCGCCTGGCATGTGAGAGGGGTTGATTCAAAGTCCGTCGAACTTGATTCCCATTTGCTCTCCCCTGGGAGATTGTTTGCCGGTCATCTCCCCTTTCTTCGAAAAAAAAAAAAAAAAAAAAATCGGTGGTTCTCGGTTTCCCCACACATTGTTAGGCCCTGTTGCTACATGATGCGTATGGGCTCGCTACCATCTGTTGGGAGGGGCATTGACAGGTCGTGCACCGATGTGATTCTTGCCCAGGTCACCCCGGCAGACATGGATCACTGAAAAAAAGCTCCTTTCACCCTGGACCAAGTCCCCAGAACCCTGAGGCCTTGGCTCTTGTCCTGAGGACCTGCTCTGGGTTGAATTCCCTCCAGGGATACATTCGTATACAATTCTCGTTAAGACAAAGGCAGCTAGCTGTGGAAGTCCCAAGCAAGGGATGTTTCATGGTCCTTTTCAATGCTATGTAGAACTTGTCGGAAAGTGGGAGCTACGCAGTCAGCAGAGTTTTCCTCGGGATTTGCCAGGACGACGCCAAGTTGGAAGATTCCCATCTCCGATCATACGGGGGGAGGGGACAATGACCTACCTCGAATGGCAGGCCCAGCCTATCACCCTGTCGCCATGCTACGCCGCGATAAGGCCACCGCAATCTTAAATTTGGGGCAGATAACCACTTGATGTCAAAGCATAAAACATCCTTCCAATGGTTGACCACCGCGGCGCTCTCGGCTTGGGCAAGGGGCGGAACGAAAAACTTTCCTACCGAAGTGTTACACTGGTTCAAAGTCAGCAGGAGGGGCTGGACTGCTCCCGACGTACACACACGGGACAGCGACCCGGCGCAACTCGTTGCTTCGAAAAGACTTGGGAATGTTCTCGGATGATGGATTGAAACCGTGAGCCGAGCCTTGACCAAAAGTTGCAGAACAACGAACCATGAAGTAGTATACAGAAAGAGCAGTTGGAATGCCAGCCTATCTCTGTCGGGATCAGGAGAATGCAGCTGATCTGCCACGCCAGTCTGCCAGATGGTCAACAACCCAAGTCGTCGTGCTGCTTTCTGGGGCTTTTGCAAAACACCCGACTTACTGGAGCTTCTGGCTCCTCGGCCCCGCACAGTGTTTTGTCACTGTGATTGGTCTCTGGGAACCCAACTACTTAAACGACGGACTCGGAGCCAAAGTCACCCCGCATAACCGAAATCGTGCTACTTTGACACTACACTGCTTTACCCTGATAGCACAAGAGAACCGTGTCGAAGCCCATTTCAGCGACTTGGGCGTTTAAAGGGGGCACTATTGATGTCTGAACTGTCGGTCTAGAAAGAGAACACATATGTGGGAGTGAAAGCGGCTCTTCACAAGAGGATACACCTCGCGAGTTGAGGCATGGCCTTTTTTTGCTTGGTCCGATCGCTGTTGTCCCTATCAGAATTCAAAACAGGTTCTACTGCGCTTTTTGGGTAGGTGAACTGAGACTTGCATTGTTTCCTGCAAATGCACTGCATCTCTGATCTCGAAGCCATCATTGGGTTATCCCAGGTCTGCTTTTGGCCCGGACTGCGTGAGCGGCTGCTTCAACGCGACTGAAACCAAGGCAAGCCATGGCCAAGGAAGCCGAGAGATAGACACACTTTGGCGTTGTATGACAGCAAACTCCACTGAGTTCTATTGCAGAATTGCTACCTTTGGTCTTTGGAGTCCGAATTTACTGACGCTGTACAGGTACGACGATGACATGTCGGAGGAAAGCGGTCAAGTCAGCACTATCTGCGAGAGACGCAGAGCAAAGCATCATCATCAGAGGATGAGATGTAATGTGGAGGTAGGTACTGTCGACGGGTAGGTAGAGAGGGGGTCCAGATAGGCTATAGGCATGTATATCTGCCCGCGTCTTCCCCGATGAGACAGAGGAGGCTTCGAGCTCGTGCCTCTAGCATTCCAAGTCCAAGTTGAACAGAGTCCGTTCCAAGGTCCGTCCCCGGGTCTTTTCAGTTCGAACAAAAGGACTCTGATACAGGATGTCGTGAAGTTCGGCAATGACAAACCACCTGAAGTGAACCATCCACGCAGCCTAACCACCACGGCTGAAGATCATCGACCGAGTCACCTCATCGGTTCGCGGCCTCTTACCTACAACAAACCCCGAGACAGTGGAGACGTGTGTGTGTAGTAGCGAGGAGGACGACCGTGCGAACACGAAGAGACGAACACAGGGGAAACATCATGATGGTCCACGGCTTGGGAAATCGCATTGCCTGAAATTGCCTGGGGTAGCAACGGGCAGTTGAACCCACAGCCTGGTTCGGGTTTCCCAGTTTCGTCGCTACTTACCTACATACTTACACCTTAGGGTACCTAGAGGTACCCAATATCTTGTTAGAGGGCAGCCCCGCTCCCAAGCTAGTAACGGTGGTGTATCGGTCTTCCCTACTCCTGTAGCGTGCCAACATGCCCCGCTGCAGAGGACGACACAACCCAGGAAACCAACCAAAACTGTACTATAGAACTACGAGGACGCAATGGCATCCCCAAGACATAGTAATCACAAGTGAGGCTTCCTAGCAGCGATCCCAATGCGTTGAAAGCGGAACGCGTGGAGGTTTCCCGTCTGAAAATGAGGCGGGCCGCAAACAGAGAGATACTCGCAAAGCGCAGGCGGCGGTCGTGCCGCTACAGGTAGAGGCAAGGTAGGCAGGTACCTCTCGAGGTACCTAGAGGTAGGTAGAGGTAGCGTCGTCCGCCAATCTCACATATCTGCCCAGTCACCACCCAAAACCCACTTGCCTATCGAAGCACTGGACTGGACCGACGGCTGCTGCCCTCTTGCTGCTACCTAGGGAACCGGGGTGCCCTGACTGTGTGAAGGGTGCAGTGGACTCGCAGATTCCACTTCGCAGCCTGCCCATCGTAGCTAGGTATTTTGATTTAGCTAGCCTCCATCCGCACCCCCCCGGCGAACCGACCATCAGGAAGACCCTTCTTTTTCTTCTCTTCCCTCCCCCCTTCGTGGTTTTGTGGTTGCGCCGGACAGCAGCAGCACCACCACCATTCAAACACGCGACATCGCGAGAGTTTGTGCAGACAGAGCGGAATCGGACTCTTACACATCCATCTCACTCCAAGCGAGGCATTCCTGTCCTCTGTGCTCGCTCCCGTCATCCGCCTTTTCTCCGCCCTCCATCCCACCTCCCGTCTCTTCACAACCTACCCCGATCTCCAGCAAGGTCCCCGCCCTTGTCCTGCCACCGAGGCCCTCCCTACCTTACAAGTACCTTAGCGTGTTCCCGTTGGGCACCTCGAGTCCTCAACAACTTGCTCAGCTTTCTCAGCTCGCCCTCCCCCCCGAGTACTTATCGACTTCCTGTCGTCGCCTTCCTTGTATTCAGTTGCGTGCGTGTCTGTCCGCCGACACGCTTCGCGGCCGCATCGCACACAAAAGTCGTCGAGTGCGCCCTCAGGATTGGATCCGAACGAAACCTCCCGCTCTGTTGTCTTTGTGGGAGACTGGGTTACCGTGAGACGGTCGCGCCAAATCGAGTAAACTCGGTGAGTTGCCTGATGTTTCCTTGGCCTCCTTTCCGCCCGTTCTACCGTTGTTCCCCCCTTCCGCTGGGCCAGTGCCGGCCAGCCAGCCAGCTTGCTCGCATCGCATCGCCGTCGCATCATATCGCTCCCAAGCGCCTTCGCCGTCGTCATCGTGCTCCTCTTCTTCGGCTTCCATTCCACAACGTGGGCTTTTGGGTCGTTCTTGGTGGTTTCTCCAGCACTCCCCATCCCATCGTCCATCTTGCAGCGGAGATCGCCGTTGTCGACAGACATGCTGTTTGGTGCTGCGGACCCTGGCACGCTGGCACAGCATGGAAGGAAATCATCTTGTGACTGGCCCGCCAAACCTCAGGCTGGCCTCTGGCTAGTCCCTGCGAGTCCAGGACACCCTCCCCCCAATCGGCGTGCACGCGTGATCGGTGGCTCATTCCGTGCTCGCATACCTGCTGCACCTCACTGCTGCATCTGCGTGGATTTCACCTCCGGGCTCTATTGCAGCCATCTGTTCCGCCATTTCTGCTGCCGCGGCGTCGGTGTTGTGTCCGCATCATGACGGCCTCGATACCGCTACTTTGCTACAATCTACACTACTACAAGTGGCGTTGAAACCGCCGAGGACGACTGAAACTGTTGAACGAGCACACACATCTCGCAACCGGTGCCGGACAACGATCCGCCCTCCTTCAAGCATCTACCCGTCACACAGAAACCGGAACCTCTGCTTGCCGCCGAGCCACATCTGCACACCTTGCACACCTACATAATACGCGCCGCATTGTCACCAGTATCCCCGCACTCGACATATCTTAGACCCGACTTTGATGCTGAATGGGCTCATTTTCACCGGATATACGCACACTCTACCTATCCATCACGGCCTTCGCAACCTTTTTTCAAAATCTCGTCGGCCATTGAAATTACCGAGCCGACTTCGTTTTCCGCATTCTAAGCAAGCTCCAAGCGGTCGCTGTGCCAGACAAGAAGGGCTTGCCGAAAGAACGAGGCGTCTGTGCCTGTGCGAGGTGACGGCTCGACTAACTAACATATGACATTACGCAGACCGACTGCTGTCCGACATTCGCCACGACAAACTCCCGCAAACTCTACAGACCGCACGATCACACGCGTAGCCTTCCGAGTCCGAGCTGCACATAAACTCTTCCCAGCGCCGACATCGTGCTATCTAGACACCTTTTCCCCTGCTGTCCTCGTCCGGGAAACGCACCTCTCTACCTACAACGCCCCAACCCGTTATGCATATTGAATGCTAAATATGGATTCGGAAGACGGGGAGTTTTTCATCAAGGTACGACGATTCTATGGTCATTACTGCAATGCAGTTGCGCTTCAAGAGGACCATTAGGCTAATCATCCATGTTGGCTTCTAGCAACTGGCGAGCTTCGTGCGGACCCATGAAAAGGCCCTCGCCAATGCGCTACAGTTTAGGAGACAAAACACTCCTCGCCATGCATCTTCACAGAGCGTTTCGGTGCTCTCCACCTCGGCTCCCACGGCCTCTTCTCTTCCAGAGCGACCCTCGACGTCTTCATCGCCTTCGAGCACATTAGCTGCAGCTCTATCCCTAGGTTCCTTGAACTTCACATCCCACAACGTAAAGTCGGCAAAACTGGCTCTTACCGCCCATCACCTGTTTTATCTACTTTCCCGATTCCAAGAGCTGGCTATTCCTGTCGGCCCCATGAAGGTTCGCCTGGAGAATCTGCACGATAACCGGAATTCGGGAAATTATGTATCCTTCCTTAGCCAAACGCAACGGTGTAAAAGCCGTGGCTCCGACGTTGGCTCAATCCACTCTGTTTCCAGCATCAGGAGTGTTATGTCGGGCATGTCTGCTCTATGGTCGAGTTTTGGAATCGGTTCTAGCATATCTGCCGCTCGTTCCGAGAAGCAGAAGGCTGCCATCGAGGCTGACCTCAAGTACTTGTACTCTGCTTTCACCAAGATCCCTTGCCTACGACTTGCCCCCGACTTCCGCGCGCGTTTGATCAAAGGATACGAAGAATTTCCTTTCGACTCGGCCGTCCCTCTTTATGTCTTCAAGAACGTCCAGGCCCTTGAAGTCAGTGATACAGACTTCAGGCAATTTTTTGGTTGGGACCGGCTTGCCGAGCAGCTTCGCTCTCTCACGCTCAAGCGCGCCAGTCTCGATGACCCTGCAGATGTCCTGATCGACATCGTTTTGGATGATATGGATAAGAGACGTCGTCGCTCGTCAAAAGCGCAGTCATCCCCAACCGGTCCTTGGGCTGCACCAAGTCCTCGGAGAAGTCCCACAATCCCGCAGGCGGCGCAGAAGTCGAATTCCCCACCTAGTTCTCCAGATGCGAGGACGTCCAACACTGAAATACCAGTTGGCTCTCTCAACAGCGAATCTGGGCCTGACCAGTTCGGGGCGGCTTTGCACAACCACAGGCGGCCGTCTGTCGTAAGGGTGGACAGCGATGAGTCAAGGACACCGGCAAAAGACGGGCGACCACGAAGTCACTCCCCGCGCCGGCCTACCAGCTCTAGGAATGGCTCAAGCAACGTCCGGGGAAGTCACAAGATTCGTCGATCCGGGTCTGGAAGCTCACACTCGAGCCTCTCGGACTCCTGGTATAATTCTCGTGGAAGTTCTTCCAACTTGCTCGCCATGGGAACACTTCCTCCCTCCAAGTGGCGTTTCCTCAAGCATTTGAGCCTCGCAGACAACTCCCTTACCTCCATCCCGGCGGCCAGTCTGGCCCCACTTGCGAATTCTCTCCATTCTCTCGACCTGTCGGCGAACTTGTTTACCCAGATCCCCGACAGCCTTGTAACTCTAACAGCCCTCCGCGCCCTGAACCTGGCTCATTGCATGATCGACTCGCTCCATTCGCTTATTCGGTGTCCTCTTCCCGCTATCACAGCCCTCAATCTCCGCGCCAACCGCTTGACATCGATTGTGGGCATTGAGAAGCTCTACCCCTTGGAAAGACTGGACTTGAGGGACAATCAAATTACCGATCCTATGGAGTTGGCACGTCTGACTGGTATCCCCGAACTCCGGGAAATCTACGTGGAGGGCAATCCTTTTACGCGAATCCACCGTGACTACCGCATTACCATCTTCAACCTGTTCCGTCAAACACCGGGATATACCGAAGACATCACTATCGACGGGTCAGGGCCCAGCTACTCAGAGAGGCGGTATCTTCATGAAAGGGCGGCAGAGCTACCGGCTGTCCCCGTCATCAAGCCCCCACCCCAGGAATTGCCTGCGGTGGATGTCAGCAAGCCTACATTTGTATACGAGCCGCCCCCAAGAGAACCGGCTGTCCTTAGGAAGGAGAGGCCCATGCCCAAAAGCACAACAAGCGAACTCAACACTGCGTCTACGCGCCGTCGGAAAGCACCCAAACGACGTATTGTGGATCTCGCTACTAACGAGACGCCTGCTCCTGTGACTCTGGTCGACGATCGCAGTAGACCTGGCGAGAGAGCGGCTTCGGGTCATAACGAACATTATCGTATTTCACAACCCACCGAGATCCATGCTCCTCAAGAGACACTTGCGGCTAGCCCTTTGCCCGACGCTCGAGCACCCGCCGATATTCCCAGGATTGAATCCACCGTCATTCCCAGCATAACTCCCCTTTATCCCTCCCACAAGAGCTCATCCGAGTCTCAGTCGTGGAGGGATAATGGCCACTGGGATGTCGACGGCGAACTGTACCGTCGGAAGATCGAGTCGCTTCGTGACAAAGTGGGGAGCCGCTATCTGAGTGCACTCAATGAGGAAGGATGGGATCCTACTTCGCTTCCACCCAACTACCGCGAGGGCAACTTTGGTGCTCCCTCTCCCTTACTTGCGGACCCGACAGCTCCTAGAGCCGCATCCGTGCAGGCGATCCATAGTGGTCGGACACTTGGATGAAGTCTTATTATGATATACCCCCAGGCTTGTAAAAAAGAAAAAAAAAAAAAAAAAAAAAGGCATGTTTTGACTTTTGGAGCGTTGTATAAGTTGTAAGCTGTTCGCTGGACGATGCTACGATACCTACTCGCTACCTCTACGCATTCCTTCCTCCAAACCCTTCAAGCACTTGTGTAGGATTGGACTGGGCTGGTTTGCATTTACATTACGCAAGAAAAGAGATATCCTATAAGCATAGCGTATTGGCGTTTTGGAATGGGAGGGCGTTGAAGGAAGCGGGAGAAATATGATTGTATAACCTAACCCGCCACACCTATCTGCCATTCTTCCTGTGTGTTCTTTTCAGCTATGCCCGTTTTTTTGTTTTTTTTGTGTGTGTGTGCTGGAGCTGTTGCATCTTGGACCTGTTGGAAGATCTTGTTTTTTGGAAGGTGGAAGTTTGATGCTTCTTGATCGATCGGCATTGATATCCACACGGCCTATAGATCTCGTCCATTTGTGGACATGATTTGGTCACCCTTTCGTTTTTCCCGTTATTCGGACGAGTTTCAGTAACAGATGGCTAGCCGGTGGCAGCATTGAAGTTTGAAAGAGTAAAGACAGAATGAATGGTGGGAGGCATTGCGAATCCTTTTGACAGTCCAAGAACTGAGGCATGATGATGATGATGACGATGATGATGGGTGGAAGCTTGGGTGGAATTGATTGATTTCCTCCCTTACTGGCGTGTCTTATCTTGTTATTATTAGGTATCACGCACGAGGGTGGTTCGATGACGATGGTGATGAAGAAGAAGAAGATGATGATGATGATTGGCGTTATTTTCGAGGGCATTTGAGAGAGATTTAAAAAAAAAAAGCATTGCAGAGTACGGCAAGAAGCGAGACATTAGGCATACTGGTTTCTCACAAATTGGGTTTCCCTGAAAATTCATATCCGCGTCTTCTTTATCTGATGGCTGTTGCATCTGCTTCAGTTCTTTGCATTGTACGCCTCGAATTGATGTTGCAGAAGGGGAGAATTTGTGCGGACGCTCAGGGTTGCAGTTTGTAGCAGTTCAAATTGACGAGCTATTTGGTTGCCATTGCGGATATCATCCAGCCTAGAGTATGAGGGTTCGAATACTACGATGTTTCTTATCTTAGAACAATGGCAAATAACACGGTGCTGCCCGCGATAACGCCCAAAAGAGGGAAATCATAAGCTCGCGAAATTCTAGAACCAGGATTTTCATGATCGTGAACGGTGGATCTCTTATGCATTCTCGGCAACGGATCCGAGCGAACGGATCGGATGGGTTCGACGGGGATTTAGGTTTAAATTTTTTCTTCTTTTGTTTTTAAGCTTAAACGCGAGATAGTGTCCTTGTCGATCCCCTCGGTAATTCTCTCTGCTGGGTCAGTCAATCATTCCATGACAGGAGAATGCTGTATCTCGACTACTAGTTTTTTTTTTTTTTTTTTTTTTTTGGTAAATCATGGTATCCTGTTGTCAATGTAGCCGGCTCCTGCCGTGGTTGGAAGCACACGTTCCTACAAAGACCGGTTCACCAAGCCTCAATTGAGCACAAACGAAGTGACGGACAGCAGAATGGATATTGAAACCAATTGGCCATGATCCTTGCTGTGTTATTTTCGGAATGTCTGCCGGAGGTTCTGGCTCGGATCCGATGAGGAGGAAGGCCAATCAGACGTCGAGCGCATGCGGGATCATGCGTTACGTGCGCGAATGTTACATAGTTGGGAGGATTCTTTGTTTTTTTTCCCTCTTGATGATACTTTCCCACTGCTGATGAGGTGGCAAGGCTAGGTAAATAAATGGTCAATTCGAAAAAAAAGCATGAACGGATGGGGGCCAAGGGGCCGACCGTGGGTCGTGGGAAAGGTGAGTGGGGGACTCCGACTTGCCAAGACAGTGCAACTAATCAATACCACCACGCACGAAAATTGCATCTCTGTGGAAGAATTACATCATGGTTTAACAGTAAATTTGGACATTGTGCGCTGGCCGTTCTCTGCGTTGACCTAGGGAAGGATCATGATGAAGGTGGTCGGTTTCTGTGACGACAATCTGATCTTTTGCCAAACTAGAGGTAGCTCTATGTATGGATTTCTCTGGAGAACACACAGGAAAGAAACAAAGAGCTGAAACTCATCTCAAAGCTCGCCGGATCCAGCGTGCGAATGCGCATACCCAACTGCCCAAGTTCTGCTGTTGGTGTCAGCCCTTTCCTTCATCCCGCCTCCTCCCTGTGATGGAAACAGTTGTTTTGAAGCATAACGACGTTCGCCAAACAAAAGGGTCTGCCACTAAAACTGTAACTGTGCACTACAGGTATCTTGTGGTGGTTTAATTTGCCAAAGCTTAAAGTTGAGTTCTGGGGGATCTTCGAGGGTGGCTGGGATTAGGGATCGAAATGTGCAAAACCGTTTGGTGACTGAAGTGAAGATGATCCACGCACGCAAGCTGCAACACGGAATTTAGCTCAAAGGGCTAGGCCGAAACGAGCGGTATGTAAGCCCCTCCCAACCCCTGGAACCCCTTGTTCTTGTCGATTTTGGGGCCCGTGAAATGCGTGCGGCTGTCGTTACGTAAGCGGATAGCCAGTGGGCCATCTTTCTTGCCCTTAACCGCGGCATGCTGATTGGCTAGCCATCACTCGAGCCTCGCGTTTTCGAGAACGTCACGTCTTCAGGCCTACCGGGCTCCCTCACGCTTCCCGCATCGTTGACCATCGCACACCCGCTTCTTCTTGCCTTCTAGCCCGCGGTCGCATATCTACGCTTCCTCCACCAATGATCGAGCCGAACCGCCGACCCTCTCGAGTGATTCCTCAGCCACCATCTCCAACGCGGTGATCCCCCTTTGACCACCGCCTACCCATCACTTATCCGTCACCTTCGACTCGTCCATCAGCTTTATTGCTTCATCCATCAAGCAGCCATGGCGCCGGTGCCATCGACCCCGCGTCGGCGACCTCAGAGTCGGCCCAAGGCTCGTTCAAGGGCCGGAGGTTCTGCGACCGCCTCCCGCGGCAAGAGACACGCCTCAGGCGCCCCGGCAACCGAGCCACCTTTAAAGAAGAGACGATACGTGCCTGGTGGGCCCGGCGGTGGCGGACGTTTTATTGATGAAGATGGTGTCGAAACCCCGGCCGAGCCATCGGGCTCCGCATCAAGAATACGAACATCCGCCGCCCGTGTCTCCCCAAGCGTTTTCCCGAAACGAGAGCGAAGTACAAGGATACGGACCGCCGTGAACCGCGATAAACTCGACGATATGCAATACAGTTCGGCTGCCGCCGTGGTGGCGGCCGTTGTTCAGAGCGAAGGCTACAAGCCCCGAGAGGAGCGTGGGTGGGAAGAGTTTCACCCAAACCTGGATATCGAGGGGACATTTATGATCTTTCAAGCCGACGAAGTAGACGGTATCTTGAGGGAGGCACCTCATACACCTGCTGTCCAACAACAACCACAACAACAACAACATCATCAACTAGGTGGCCAAGATAATGGCGCCACTACTCCTACGAAGAGCACCAACAACAACATGGTGTCAACGGACGCACCTAATGCAGCAACGCCTAGTGGGCAGGATAGGTCTCTACTTGTTGGTTCGGTCACAGATACACCTAGTAGGCGTAGACCACTACGACCCACGAGAGAATCGTCTTCTATCTATGCAAACCGTCCGCTGGACTTTGGTATCACACCAAAAACACCCAAAGTTCTTCCGATCCACAACCAGACGCCAAAAGAGCGTTTGGACCTCAAGCAGCCATCATACCGAAAAACCGACCGAATAGCCCTATTCGAGAGCAAGACTTTTGGGCAAGCACGATATGTCGACAAATCCATGTCCAATGTGGGCTATCAGGAGAGCGACAACTTCATTCGGCAGGATCGGAAACTCATCAAGGCCACGGATGCGAACGTCGAGGAAGACATCGATCCTTCGACCATGACACAAGCAAATAGTGATTCTGCACACAATTCGGCGGGGGCTGTGGGCAGGGTCGAATATGACATGGATGAGCAAGATGATATGTGGCTTGAGACACTCAACAGGCGCCGCAAGGACTCCAACCTCGACACTATAACCCGCGAAATATTCGAAATCACAATAACAAAGATCGAGAAAGAGTGGCATGCGCTAGAGAAGAGGATACCAAAGCCAAACCCGAAACCACCACAGACTCATAGGCCAAGGTCGAGCTCAGCAGCGGCAGTCAACGGCGAACCGCAGACCGGCGAGGAGCAGGATAGCAAGTGCGCCATTTGCGATGATGGGGATTGCGAAAACACCAATGCCATTGTCTTTTGCGATGGCTGCGATCTTGCAGTACACCAAGAGTGCTACGGTGTACCTTTTATTCCAGAGGGCCAGTGGCTATGTCGAAAATGCCAGCTTATTGGGCGTGGTGTCCCAACCTGCATCTTCTGTCCAAATACCGACGGTGCATTCAAGCAGACAAACTCGTCAAAATGGGCACATCTCCTGTGTGCCATGTGGATTCCAGAAGTGTCACTTGGGAATCACACCTTCATGGAGCCGGTGATGGAAGTGGAAAAGGTCCCCAAGAACAGGTGGAAACTCGTGTGCTACATTTGCAATCAGAAGATGGGAGCCTGCATCCAGTGCTCTAACAAAAACTGCTTTCAGGCTTTCCACGTCACATGCGCTAGACGAAGTCGGCTATATCTGAAGATGAAGAACAGCCAGGGTGCTCTTGCAGTGTTGGAAGGCGGTCTACCACTCAAAGCATACTGCGACAAACACTGTCCGCAGGACTACGCGAAGGAGAACGATGTGGTTCAGGCGACAAAAGATGCTAAGCGCTTTTATAAACGCGCCATGAAGGGCCGCATCTGGGCCGATAGTCAAGCTTCAGCCCTGCAATTGGCAGCTACCCACCGGCACGCCATTACCGAGCACCCTCCTGACGAATCCCAGATGACGGGAGCCAAGGTTTCTGCTGTCCTAGGGGAAACCAAGAACGGCCATCCAGGAAAGCCTATATGGAAGCTGCCATCAGGAGCGCCAATCATCCCACAGGCTGTCTACGATCTGGTGGAAAGCGCTCTAGCACGCTTCCCTATCCTGAAGAGGAAGGACTTTGTTGCCGAAGCATGTCGTTATTGGACTCTTAAGCGTGAAGCCCGTAGGGGTGCTGCTCTTCTGAAACGTCTCCAGCTCCAGATGGAGACATTCTCATCCATGGAGTTGACGAGGCGGAACTTCGCAGCTATGGGACCATCGGGCAAGACACGGTTGGCTAGAAGAATTGAGTTTGCGCGAACATTATTGAAAGACCTTGAACACCTCAAGGCCCTGTCAGAAGAGATCGTGCAGCGCGAGGCTAGCAAGCTTGAAGCTGCCGAGATGGAACGCGATTTCGTGGACAGCTGCTATTTCCCAGTCTATGAGATGCTGATACCGGCTCTCCAGAAGGCCATCCAGTACGTCTCTTGAACCGCCACTCTTGTCACGAACAACCTTGTGCTAACGGGAATAGGTCAGATAGGGACGTCTTTGCGAAGGGCTTGTCCGAGTTGCAGGACAAGATGGAGAAGCGCTACTACACGACAACCTTGCAGTTCACCCACGATCTCTGCCAAGTCATTAGTGCCGAGATCAACTCTGCAATGAACCCGCATGCTGGTTTAGACCAAATTGTCGAACCATCGTATGCTTCACCGACGAAACCCGGCGCTAATGCTGAAGTGAAGAAATGCAAGCAGATGGGCAAGAGGATATTGAGGCAAGTTCAGCCATATCTTGAAGCAGCATTGCAAGCAGAGGCGGATATCTGCAGCAAACCCTACGATGCTCTCCATCAAGAACTAGAAGGCATGCTCGATGCAAGCCTGGAAGTCAGGCAACCCACAATCACTGTGTCCAGCCATGACGGTGTCGCGGCTGAGGACATTGAAATGGCTGATGCTCCAGAAGAGGGCGGCCAGATCATCGTCGCCGATCAGAGCGACGGCGAAGCAGATGGGGAGGGTGACGAAGACGGGGACGGTAAAGAGGACGCTAACGTCAATTCCAACGGTGGACCGGATGAGATGAACGTCGATACCTCCCAACAGAAGGCGGGTGTGGGCAGCATAGAGGTAAACACATCAGAGGTCGACGCTGCACCAAAATCTAATAACACACTATCAACAAG